CATTATCCGGATTGTATGAGAGCAAAGGTCTTTCAGGCAGAACAAACTCATGACGGACTCCAAATTCTGTCCTTGCTGTGATGCTGTGATTTCCAAGCTAAAGAAATGTAGGTGTTTCAGTCAGACTGAGAAACATAACGAGACACTTCTGTGACCCTTTTGTCATTTTTGATAGATTCATTGGGTCGAGCTGAAAACTTTGCATGTGGACTTTCCCTGTGTGGTACCACAGTAATGCTGTTACAGCAAGACGGCTCTCCCACGTGGCGTAAAATCCCCTGGTTCTCAAGGTTAACAAGATTTTAGATCACAAACATTACTCTGGCTGTGGGGGTGCTTTGACCTGCAGGCCAGCTTGAGTGATTTCCAAACCACGCACGCGGCCCCCGGGTCCAGTACTGGGGGGTGCGCCCTCCCCAGGCTAGCCTTCCAGAACTCCTGTGGCTTCCGGAGAACCTGAGGGAGTCAAAGTTCAAAACCCCAACGGTGTTCAAGGCAAACCTCAAGAGATGGGTCATTACGACCCCACTGCTCACAGAGCAGAAATGGGAAGCGGAACCATGATCCGTGGGTGAAAGGCTGCATAAAAAATATGTGCCTTGTTTAAACAGCTGTAGGTAAAGGTTTGTTTGCCAAAATGCACAGCAAACCTACCAGCCTCAGCCAGTAGGTCACAGGGCTAATCCCCTGCCAGTGGACCAGCAAAGCTACCCTGTTTCCAAACTTATGATAGTTGACCAGCTTAAGGTACATTTTTGCATGAAGGTTTGATGGTTTAGCTCAAGGGTGAACAATCTACAGTAATTCGCAAAGGGCCAGTAATTTTGGGATAACTTTTAGGTCCAGCTGTTCAACCCTGGTGTGAGAACTTCATCCAGTCAGTCATCTAATTAGTAATCAAACCAGGGAGTTGCAGCCAAACCCAGCATACACAATGGCCGGTCCTGGATAAGTTTGCCTAAACCTGGTTTAGCTGGTCATACAAGCTTACAATGGTCATTCTAGCTGGTTCTACCAGCATGGCCAACTGGTGACCCACCTAGGTAAACCATCAATGAGCAGCAAGAGCTGGGACATAACCATCTAAAACCATCATAAACCATCTTACACCAGCTAAAACCAGTCACCAGCATAAGCTGGTTTTTAGCTGTTTGCTTCCAGCAGGGTATACATCGGAACCGGGCTGAAATCTGTGCTTTTGCTTACAGAGGGGATGGAAAGCCCAAAGTCTGCTGTGTACAGGTATGTTTTCCTTTAATCAGTCCTATAAGCATTCTCCAAAGACGAGCTAAATGCCAAAAACAGAAGCTGCTAGAGTTTAAACGAAGAGCGGAGACAGAGGTCTCAGGTGACATGAAACTCGGCTGTCCGTTTGAGTAATTACCCGCTTTAAAGCCTTAAATGGTTCTCACAGTCCACTTATGTATCATTATTTGGGCGACATCGCTCTGCATGCGCTAGGGCCATCTGCAGATGTAAACACGTCAGTCCACCCTCCACGTCATTCTGCGAGGACGGCCAGGTAAGCCGTTCATCTTCCAGGCCGTCCAACTCACAGGTTCCTTCAGGACGCACTCTTGCTGTAAGGCGCAGAAGTGTAAAAACACAAATGTGTCTCCTGGCCTGAATCCAGCCCCGGGGGCAGCGAGGGGGGTCTGAGTGTGAAGTGTGATTCTTCGGGGGCGAGTCGGAAAAGACGGATGGATGCACCTGGATCATTAAATGCACCCATTGACAAATAAATCTGATATATGGCGAACTCACCCCCAACCTGGCTTGGCTTCACCTTTAAGTAAGATATACCGGGTCTGCAAACTGAGCTGTTATGGGTTCTGTCTCTTCTTGTAGGGGCAAGGCGAGCCTAGATGAGAAGTAACTCTATGGACATCATACTTGGGTGCTTTGGAATCACATTTCTCCCAAGGAACTGGGAGATGTTGACCGTCTGAGGGTCTCTGTGGACTGGTTTGAGAAACACTGACATACAAGGTATACAGAATCCTAACCCACAGAGCCACGCACCACACAGATCATTTTTTGGTACAGATTTCATTGCACAGATTGTATTATTATTATTATTATTATTATTGTTGTTGTTGTTGTTGTTATTGCTGCAAAGTGGTACTATAGGCTAAGAGTTTAAATGAGGTACTGCAGGCCCCAAAACAGTTCTCAGGAAGTTATCAAGCCGCAGAGAAGGTGACAAGCCTCTGGGCCTTAACCAGCAGCGACAGCCATGGGCCTGAAGTGTGCAGATGCTCTGGATATCGGCGTGGAATCCACACTTAAATCCTGCGTCTCGCCCATCGGAAGTCCCCAGGCGAGGACGCCGAGATTGACCCCGGGAGTGAACTGGGGGTCGTAAATCTGCGGGCCTGTATTTATGGGCAGAGCGCTTGCTCTTTAAGCATTCTAGCAGATCGGACATGAGCTGGAAGAGCGGGGATGGGCCCGGCGAGAGCGCGGCACTGTTCGACTCCACCAGAGGAATATTAGACTACACCATCTTGCGTGCCGGCTGCTTTTAATTCTTCTGACGGTAGTGCGGCGGATTTCGATTGCAGATCCATCTCTGTCTGGCGTCGTCCCGCCTGGGAGCACCTGGCTCTGATTAAGTGGCAGATTGCGTTGGGGAGGAGACACCGGAGAAGGTTATGGAGTGACAGCACTAGGTGACCTGACAGGACATAGCAGAGCTTCAGGCAGTGAGTAGGACGCCATGTAGGTATGACCAGTGAAACCAGTAAGAATGGCCATCATAAGCTGGTATGAACAGCTGAACCATCAACCTATCATGTTAAAACATACCTTATGCTGGTCAATTATCATAAATTGGTCGAGTTGTTTTTTTTTTCAGCAAGGAACCCAGAATGTTAAGCGTGGGGAGGGCCAGAGCGATGCATCAGAGGGCTGGAAACTGGCGGGCTGGACATGAATGGTAAGCAGTAATGCCTGTTATACGTCTGCCCGCAACCAGCGGGCGACTAACCCAAGGTTTTGTCTACACGCTCCCCAATACGGCCAAGACAACCGTCCACAGTGCCAGTTAGCAGTGCAAGCGGGGGGGGGGGGGGGGGGAGGGGGGTCACCGCACACGTCACAGGGTCCTTTGTGGGAATCTGCGGCTTGGAAGGCACAACCCCCCTGGCCAGACCCCACACGGCCTGAGAGCAGACGGGCCCGGAACCCCCCTCGGCATGGACTTTCTCCCAGAACCGGCACTCGTTACAAATATAAACCGCGGGGCCGCCCTCAGCAGCTCCCCGCCGCTGCATGTCCCCAGACGGCTCTTGGAAAAATAATTTTCGAGAGGCGTGTGGGCCGGGCCGTGAATTTCAGCGTCCTGTTTCCTAACGTGACTGACATTTTGATGAATGACGCCTCCGTAACCCGTGAATTAAAAATCGCTGACCGCTACCTCAGCCGGTGCCATAGCGCACGCTCGCCGGCACGTGTGTCCCTTGAGGTCACGGACATGCTGCCGAGGCTGGCAACAGCGCAGTGGTGTGATCCTGCGAGGTGTGTTTGAATGTCACTTTGATGAATGAGCTCGGCTGTGACGCCGGACACACGGGCGTGTTCAGGGCGGCGTGTGCACTGCGTGATGACACAGGGGGCATGTTCTCAGTGTGGTCACTTCCTGTAAGGTGGCTTCACCATGAAACCCTGTTTGCTCCTGCCTGCTGAATTACTCTAGCATCATTTTAGGATGAAGTTAAGTAAAGTACTATGTCCATCTTTCTAATTTTGTCTGTAATCCTAGATATCTATGCTCCCATACAAAGGCAAACCACTGTAAATTTGATTTAAAAAAAAGTTATGACCAACATCTGGAGTCTTAGGCTTTATTTTTTGACAAAATATCTTAATTTGACGATGCTGGGTTTTTGGATACAACACTATCATTTACCTTCCTACTACGACATGGATGGACAGTCAAAAAACTGGTCACAGAGGAACCCTAAGTAGCCCATGACAGCCCTAACCTAAACCATAAGTAACTATGACAACCTTAACCCCTACCCAGCCCTAACCTTAACCATAAGTAACCAAACATAATTAACCAAAATATAACAGTTTTTGCATTTTTAGTTTTTTGTTTGCAGTCACAGATTTTTATGAAATTCAGTTTCCCCTTGTGGGGACCGAAAAATTGGTCCCCGTAATTTTAAAATAACAGTTTTTTATCACAGTGCAATAATGTAATATATACATAACCCCCACACACAGGGGAGGCAGTAATCGACCCCCTCAACCCTGAAGACACGAGGCAACAGCGCCACCCACTGATCCCCTCTGCATGCCATCCCCACCATCCACATTTGCGAATGAGAGTGGCGGAGAGCAGGGAAGCAGAGACACCCTGTGTGGGGGGTTTTATAGCCGTGTGCTAATTAAGTGTAACAGGAACTGCAGAGTTTCACTGCAACTGGGACTGAGGCCGGCGCAGGGCCTGTTCCCAGCTGCCTATAAATGCGAGTGCAGCTCCTGAACAGGCCCTCGACTGGCCCCCCCTGGTACAGGGCTTCAAACAGACACATGCCACTGTGTTAAAGAGCTGCTGCTCTACAGATGGAGGAAATCTGGGGGATTATCATTTATTTTCGAAAATGCAGGCAGGATGGAGTCCCTTGATATGGAGCCATGCTGCAGTTCAGTATATCAGGCTAGTCTGTGCTGCAGGTGACAGTGTGTGACTCAGCAGGTGAGGCCTGCAAATCCTGTCCACAGTGGAATAATCGAGGCCCTTGATCCCCTGAAATCCACCAGGCCTGCTGGATAAATGGCTGAGCCGACACTCGGACCCCAAGCTTTGCTCTCAACTTGTCTCAAAGCACAGCTAGATGTCACATGTGAAAACTGAGGAATTCCAAAGTACTTGTGCAAATGGCAAATAAGGCGTAACTTCTGTGTCAATTTTTCAGTATTAATGTTGCAGTAAATGGGAATGACAGGCCAGCAAGAGAATGCATGATGTGGCCCTGGGCTGTGTCACCTACTGTAGTGCTACGTGTTCACAAAGCAGCACGCTGTGTCCAACATGCTCCTGGTGCCACGCTCGCTGTCGTTGGCCTGTGGTCGGGTGGCTCGTCCTATCTGGCTCCCCCAGGTGGGACATGATGGACGGTCTTTGGACTGGAATGTCCCCATGATACAGGAAAATACCGATAAACAAAACAGGCGAGGACGAAGCCTTCTTTTTCTCAGCTAATTTAATACATTTTGACTAACATATTAAACATTAAACACCATGGACAGCAGAAAAGCAACTCTTTCCATAGCAAGTAGTGGCTAAATATTTATATTTGATTTTAGACGTTTTATTCTAGTCGGACCGATGACATAGACTTGACTGGAACCGACTGAAATTTATATGTCTACACTTTTCTGGTAAACAGTAGATTTATAAGAACTACATGGCAAAAATAAAGATTTGTTTGAGTCACTTAGGCTACGTTCAGAAAACCAAGCTGTAATCCGATTTTTTGCCTGAATGTGACTCTTTTTCAGGACTCTGAGGACACAATGAATGTGACTCTTTTTCAGGAGTCTGAGGAATCTGATCTCTTCAAACCGGATTTGAGTCACTTGCATATGTGGCCCTAGACCGGAAATGTGTCCGATTGGTCTCCATGCCACATGAATATGAATATCGATCTTAGCACTTAGGACTCCTGTCGATTTGCAGCAGCTCAGTGCTTGATTTTATTTGTCTAGAAAAGCACCAAATAATGGTCTTTTAAGCACAGAAAACACAACTACGGTAAAACACTCTACATACTGTACTTAGACTGCAGTGGTAGCTTAAGTGGTTTTAAATACCTTTGTCCTGGATTATGACTGTTACCATTCAGTAATTACACTTTGGTAAATCACATGCGGCCAGCAGTTAATCTTACAGAAACAGAAGCTGGGAAAACTGAGTCAGGATACAGAAGGAAACAGGCGCTTCACTTACTGTACTGTGGGCCCCTTTTCTCATTCATTTGTTACTTTGATGACTTTTGCTTGGAAATGCTGTACTCCACAAACTGTATGAGTTATTGGTTTGATGGTGTGGGGAAATTTGCACGTACTTGAACTGTAGATAAAACGGGTCTTAAAAACCACCGGAGATCTTTTATTTTAGGTCCAGATGAGTTCTCTGTGAGATTTTCAAAAACGATTTCTCGTGACGAGTGTGTTTGAGATATGACCAAGACTTGCTGCATTGACTTGATCTGCTTCAATGATTCTTGCAGTTTTTTGTTTAATAACTAATGCCCTCTAGCTGGCCTCTGAAGACCCCTCAGCATGTATTTAAACATCTGTTTTTTACATGCAAACATAAAAAACAAGCATGCCAATATGTGGAAAGAAATGGCTGTTAAACTGAGTTGTGTTCATATACACCAGATCTCATTGTCAGCCATCTTGACATCAGTAGGTAATATAGGAATGAATGTAACCGTTCCCCCCCCCGAGATACTGCATAAAGTAAGCTTGTCTAAATAAATCTGAGCCCCTGACCTCCAAAGCTCAATCCTCTGCAGGGCATTAGGAGAATCAAACCTGCCAATCAAGTCGCAGATGTTCTGTTTATGTTACAAGCTCTAACCCTTGTGGCCAGATCCCAAAGCAACAATAGCTGAGAGGAGCTGAGATCCAAAGAACACAAACAGGCCAGGCGGAATATTCCGGACCTTCTCTTGGCACTTCCAACAGTTTTACCGTGGTGACGAAAAGTGTCATGTTATTCAATAATTCTGAGATTACGACTTCTGCCTCGTCCATCCCCATCAAACACCCGGCTAAACAGGGCTACCTTTTCAAAGAAAATAATATGTGTGCCGTGTTTGCTTGACTGTAATTAGGCCATAATTTAATAGTGTCAACTCAAATCAGGCCCTTAATTTTTGAGGTCAGAAGCAGCCAGTGGGTCTGACCGGCAAGTGGAAGAACCCACAAGAGAGGGGATGGAAGTGAGATCAAGGGACTTCAGTGCAGCAAAAATGGACAGGCAGAATGGTGCGAGAGGACACAGTGACCGATTCATTGAGAGGAAACTGCGAGACCTCTGCTAGGCACACCCATAATGCAATGTGACGCTACACTGTTTTGGGGTAAGGACATTAGACCCAGGGGCGGCATGGTGGTGCAGTGGTTAGCACTCTTGCCTCACAACTCTGAGACCAGGGTTCGAGTGTCTAACATGGCTCCATGGGTGTGGAGTTTTGCATGTTCTCCCCGTGTAGTCGTGGGGTTTCCTCTAGGTTTCCCTCCACAGTCCAAAAACATGCTGAGGTTAATCGGAGTTACCAAATCGTCTGTAGTTGTGCTATGTAATGGGCTGGTGCCCCGTCCTGGGTCTTTCCCTCTGGGATTGGCTCTGGATCCCACGCAACCCTGAATAGATCAAGCGAGTACAGAAAACGGACGGATGGACGGACACTGGGACCCAAAGACCAGCCGCACAGAGGAGAACACAGGAAAAGGGAAAATACCATCTTTGTGCATGAAGGGGGTGTGGCAGTGTAGAACCGCTGGTGACAGCTGGAAGCAGTACCAGTACAATTAGGGGAGCTTAATCTGACTCAGTTCCCCAGAAACCCACATCCTGGAACAGCATTTATGGTGAAAGGACAGTGCCTGCAATGCCAGGACCCTTAGACTCACCATCCTGACAAGAAGATCAGAACAGAACACAGGTGCTCCTTGACTTAAAGTCAAAATATCGCAAGCCAAAGCATCGCAACAGTGCGGCCCATCTGCAGTTACTATGGCGATAGTTTTCACCTTCCGTACCCAGCAGGTACAGAGTAACATGTCCCAAACTGATTGGCCGTTTCCCACAGTCCACTCTTGCAGAGCTAAGCTGACGGATCTGTAAAGCTGTCAGTGACTGCAGAGGCCATTGGAAGCCTGAGGTGTAAACCCGCGTCAGGAGGGGTATCTGGATTGCGTCTGCGGAGCTCTTGTTAATCAGCTCAGGTGAACTGCCACCTTATGGGGTCAACTTCACTATACTGGATACCATTCAACCACTCGCTGTTTAGTGATTATTCCTTCTCCCTGATTTTGTTATAGCAGGAAACCCATGCAAGTTGCCTTAGCGGTCTTCTCAGTATTTATGACTTTCTTGGTTGATGTAATGTAACGTTCCCCCCCACCACAATATTAACACAGCAGGGACACTGATTTTAGGCTGATGCCCCAGCTAAAGCTGTATACTAAGTAGCAGGGAGTCACGGCAGGGCAAGCATTACATCGAGACGTCAAAAGACCCTGAGAAACACTCACTTGGCTAGTTAAGTGCATAATAAACAAATAAATATGACTGAAAATCACATATATTTGAAATGATCATGAGAAAATATTGGCTTTGACTGAAATATTCTCCCAGGCTGTATATTTAAAATGAGTGGTTATGGAATACGAAATGAGAGTAGAAAATGACGCATAATATTGATATTACAACCGTAGGCACGTCGGGGACAAACAGAAAATTAGGGCTGATTGCCGAAACGGTCCGAGTCGCTGGAAAAAGCCAGTCAGCCCCGTCGCCGGACGGCCCGTGATGTATTACCCTTGACAGAATGGCAGCGTGCATTTTTCGGGCATGGCGCCCTCCCACTGGAACTGTGAGCGCAGCACAGAGACCGAGGAGGGCTGGGAATCCGCGACCCTCCCCCTCTGCTGGTCTGCACCCAGAATTCACCCTGCCAGCAGGGACGCTAACAGAGTCACATGGGTTGTAGCTTTTGATTCATTGCACCCCCCCATTTCCCGTTTGGCCCCCTGCTTGACAAAAACAGAACACGGTTAATGCACTGCAGTGTTACCCAAACTCACATGCTCCAATCTCCAGTGGAGAATTCAATAAACGCAGCGGCAGCAGAATCTGACGCACCCTGCATTTGACCGAGCATGCTCAGAGTGATCATACTGCAGGCATGTCCATCCACCTTCCAAGCACTTATCCTGGGCAGAGTCGCTGGGCACCTGGAGCACATGCAGCACAGGGCACAAGGCAGCAGTACACCTTGGATGGCATGCCAGGCCATGACAGACCGCACTGAGGGCAATTCAGAGATACCATCTCACCTTTGGACTGTGGGAGGAAACTAGCACATGCAGAAAACCTGCATAACACAGAAAGAACATGAGAAATCCACGTGCACAATTAGCGGAGCTACTTTGATCCTCCAGCTCTAGAAGCACGAAGCAAGATGCTGAACCACCACACAGTCAAATATAACTTTCAAGACAAACTATATTAGGGGCTTGATCAGCGGCCTTAGGCCAGGATGGCAGCAGTCTGTCAAGGCCATTTAATGATTGCATTTGTGGGCATTATAATCAAGGGAAGACATTGATATGGATGTGCAAGAACGACTATGAGGGCTGCAAAGGATTGTGGGTCTGTAGCCCAGACTCCGGCAAAAGACCCTCAAGGATTTTTCAGTTCAGTCAGTTGTTTTTTTCAGAAACATTACTAACATTTTGTTCGTGATTTTTTGAGACAGAAATAAGACAAAATAGCCAGAGCCTCATTGAGTTTCCGTAATGCAAACCTGTTCCAACAATAAACAGCACATTTCTGGGCTGTTTCTTTGTGGATGCCAGAGACAGGAGTGAGCATGGAAACGGCAGGACACGTCCTGAGGGATCGGATCCACGGCCTGCAGCAAGGGCGGGGGCCTGAGCACCATCCACCGGCGCCGCATGCTTCGCATGTGTGATTGAAAAGGCTACCAGCTCAGAACTGAACCATGCCTAGTGCACTCCAGCTACTGCAAACAGATGCTGGGCAGACAGCCATCGTGGAGGGGGGGGGGGCAGCAACCATGCTCAGACTCCCACCAACCTCAGCCGACGACCAAGAAAAACAAAATAGCTGAGCTTAAAGCATCCCCACATCACCTTCGTGCTTTAGCAACAGGCCCAAGGTCAGCACTGCTGACCCCATGGAGCAAAGTGGGAGCAGGGGGCACGTGAAGCTGCTGGAGCACATGCTGACTTTCCAAGTCCGCTGCCAGTCCCAGCAAGGTTTGTGGGAAAGCTGGGGGTGTCTGATCCATCCTGTCACTCGTCCACGTCAAACCCTGCCCATGTGACCAGCACCAACATCAATCATGCTCCCCATTGATCTTTTT